TTCGCACACACAAAAACCGAAATGACGCTTTGTAGTTCGCTCAAGTGGAAAATATCTACGCGTGCTTTATTGAACGAGTAGCGGTTGTTCTGTTGCTGAAGTAGTGTTGATTTCACAAAGCTCACGCGCACATGTGATTTTTTCTTAAATAATTCAAATCGAAACTGGTTTTACTTTATTGCTGATCTTTTTTATAGTAAATCTGCTAGAAAATATTGACACCCCTAATATGTAACGCAACTGGTGTATAGTTTCCGATTAATTTTCCCTGACCACTATAAGAGAATTTTGAAGTGTGTATGGTTACTACACCTCAACATGCTAGATAGCGCTGACAACAATCCTGAGTCCTGGAGTAGTACTGCCTGCAGCATTGCTTAAATTTAGTTAAGAATTCATAAAATTTTACATAAATAAAGCAATGTCCTTCGCTAAAAGTTTTTTGTAGAATTTTACTAAATTATTCAATTAAAAATGTTCGTAAATAATTTTGAAATAAAGTATACATATATTTTTTAAAGACATTAAAAATATTTATACTCCAAAAATCGAAATATATTGTAGGCAACCGACCTTGAGTAGTTGCCTGAATTTAACATTTTTGTAAAATATAACACGAAATGATAGCAATACATAAAATACCGAAAATACCGAAAATGGCGACTATGTTTTCAGCCGCACAGTAACAATTTGACATACCTAATGCAAATATCGCTTTACGATTGCTGATCTGATGCTATACTAGCGCTAGTCGCCATATACAATAGGCGTGTGAGTCATCGTGATAAGTAATAACTTTACTCACTATCTGTAATTTCGAAACAGTATTCAGTTGAGAATTGTTAATGATAATTTTAAGTTTTTGTTTGTTTCTTCATCCCTTGAAAGAATTTTTTTGCCTAACGTCAATCGTTCTAAAATCTTATTCATGTTTAACCAAGTTCTTTTCCGCTAATGTATCTTAACCTGCTCTTCAGCCCATACCCGTAACAACCTTATACTGAAGCCTGTATACTTTTTCGTCCACGGTTACAACTGTGGTGTGACATCTCACCTTATTTGAGTTTATTGGAGTAAATACCGAGGTAAAATTTAAAAATATAGATTTTTTCTAATCGGAGTACTGCGTCAAAGCTCGGGGTGTATTTATGGTTAGAAAAGTTCTCACGAAATTCCATATCTCGCGAAAAGCAGCTTCATATTTCAATCGCTTTTAAAATCGGTAAGAGAAACTCAGCTAACAAAGTGGTATGGATATCCTTACTGATTTAACTTCATGTGGTGAGATGTTCAAATAATGCAAAACTCTACTAGGAACATTGTAATTTTTTTTTAAGATATAGATTTGCTAAGATATAGATCGTTAGCAGATCTAATTTTCTATCAATTATTATCTAACTTTTTATAACTCTGAGTTCGTAAATCACATGTCTCAAAATTATGTAAGCTTTTTTGTTATACCAATCTTAATATGATATGGCATATGATACATATGTATGTACTTTCGTCTTTATAGCTCTCTCTGTCAACCCATTACGCTCGTATCTTAAAGCTCACGTTTATTTTTCGCTCAGAATTGTATAAGTTTCTTTAGAGCTTTTAGTAAGAAAATCACATTTTGCGATACCTAATCAAGTTTCATAGTTTATACAATGATTTGCAATTTTAAGCAGATTTGGGACTCTTTTTCTTAGGTGCTACTACTACTACTATTTTTGGCAGTTTTTAAACATCGTTTAAAACAATAATTTTAATTTTGTACTTTAACCTCTATTCAGCCAACTCGCTACTCGTTCAGTAATAGCCCTTACTTAATCTCCAACGACTTGCTGTAAATATTTACAGCTGTTATTATGATAAAACAATATTTAAAATTACAAATTAATAAAAATAATAACTATCAACGCTTAACAAAAACAAACACAAACACTTTGTACAAATGTAATAAAACAGTTTTATTAGAGATAGTAAGAAATACTCTGAGCAGGATATGTAAGGCTCTCAAAACAGTTTGAAAAGCAAACACGTGACAGTTAGTTTACAAACAGTGAATATTAGGCATACAGACAGCTTTTAGTGCGTAATTCGATTATATTTCCACTAAATACGTGGGCTGCTGCTAAAATTCTGCATATCACAAAATTAGTTCAAACGCATACTGAAGTTTAAGCTGAAATGAGAAAATTGAGGTTAGGCACCGAATTTTGTGAATAAAAATACTTGAAAAAATTTTGATCAGCTAAAACTGTTCAAACTAGTCATTTACTAAAATTGACTTCCTTGTTCTCCTTTATCTTCCTCAATCCGCAGCAAATGCGTCGCCCCTCTACTTCCTCCCCTCACCCTAACTGCATTCATTTGTTGTTCGATAGTATGTCTCTTGAGCGAGTTATGCAACAAACAAAGCTTAACTAAATGTTTAAATTTGGAATAAATGTGTTCAAAAATATAATTATAAACATATAACAAAACTAATTAAATGAGTAATTAGCGAAATATTAAAATTAAAAGTAATAATTTAAAGTAAAACAAAATAAGTTGCGATGTGAAGTTGAAAATTTTTCTTATGTGTACCAAAAACAAAACAAAAACCCAAAAAAAAACTAAAAAACAACAACAAATAATTAAAAAAGTAATGGAAAATGTAATGAAATTTAATTGTGTGAACGTGTAAAAATTGTTAGATATGTATTGTAAATAGTTAAGAGGTAAACAAAAACAAATGTGAGTAAGAAATTAAATTAAATTAATTTACGCCATACAAATGTAATATATTGAATGCAAATAAGAAAGAATGAAGAATAAAAATTTATTTATGAAATGAAACAAACAAAACAAAAACATGTGAATTTCATTTAAAATTTAATATTGATAATAAAAAAAATTAGCAAAAACGTAAAAAATTGTAAAAAGTTAATTAAACTTAGTCTAGTTTAGTTCTTAGTGTAAACGTACGTAATTAATTTAAGTTGTACTAGGTTCTTGGAATTGTGTAAATTTTTGTACATTTAATTAATAAATTAATTGAGCTAGCTAGTGGCTTAGTGCAAAGTTAGTGTAAAAAATTTGAAGAATTTCAATTGAATTTTAAATAAAAATAATAATTGCTGAAATATTATTTATTGCATTATTTATTAATTACAATAAATAGCATATTATTTGTTGGTTTTTGTTTTTTCATCATCTTTTATACGTATGTATGTATTTCCAGCTGTTGATTATTATTTAATTTTTTTTACCAACGAAAAAAAAGGTTGAAAAATAGCATAGAGCAATAATGTTTAAATAAATTGTGAACTATCACATACACATACATACTTTGAGTTTTTATTCCATTTTTCAAAGCTTAAGAGTGTTATTTAAGTAGTGATTTTTTGTTAATTTTTACAAATAATTGTATGTAATATTTTTAGTAATTTATTTATATTTTTAATGTCATTTTTTTTTTAATTTTTCTACTTTTTTTATTTATCTTATAATTTTTTTACATTTATTAAGCGGTTATTTGTTGTAAAATATATTGTGCATTTATTTTTATTTAATTTTTTTTTTTTTTTTAAATAATTTATAAAGAGTAAAATAAAATAGGAACTATTATTATACTCTTTATAGACTATTTTTAGATAGTAGTTAATACAATTTCTCGAAGGCTTAAGCAAATGCAAGAAATTGAAAAAATATGTAATTCTCGCCTAATACATTTTCATTATCATCTTTCTAACACAATCAAAGAATAACCGCTTTTTTTTTTAAAACAAAATTTCTCAAAATATTGCTTTGTTTATTTATTTTCTTATTTTTGCAGATTTTCTAAATAATTATTTGTACAAGTATGTTGATATTATCAAAAAAAATAAATTAAAAGCGACTATATATAATGTTCTAATATATGCAAATATACTTCATATATTTACATTGATGTTGATATTTTCTAAAACATTAAATATTTCCGAAAATTACCGTCATCCAGCTGACTACACAAATCTAATTTAAAAATGTTGCAAGAGTATGTTGCACAACATTTGTGTTGATATTGTCGAAAATAATTAAAGACGACTACGCTGTTCAGATGTAAACTCAAAACAAAGTTGCAAGAATTTTTTCGTAAAATGTTGCAAGAATATGTTGCACAACATTTGTGTTGATATTGTCGAAAATAATTAAAGACGACTACGCTGTTCAGATGTAAACTCAAAATAAAGTTGCAAGAATTTTTTCGTAAAATGTTGCAAGAATATGTTGCGCAACATTTATATTACATTGCCAAAAATAATGAAATGCGACTACGCTGTAAAAACTGTAATGTAAACTCTTGTAATGTTGCAGAACTTGTTTCTAAATGTTGCAGGATTATGTTTCGCAACATTTATGTTGATAATGACAACCTTTTTATTTGTAGTAATCAAAGTGGCTACTAAAACTCTTGATTCGCCTTTAAAATTCTATGTTTCTATGTGCATTGTACAAGTATGAGCTGCGAGTTAGCTATATATATGTACTAACTATAGGTTTTATTGCACAACATTTTGCTAAGCACTATGATGCGGAAACTTATTACTGTTTGTCAACAATGAATAGCCACTTTTATGTTCAAATATACTTGTACTTGTATACATATCCATATCTTTTTTATATGGCCTAGCAACATTGTACAAACTTACAACAATTACATTCGAAACGTACTGCTAGCAACATTTGTTTTATAATTGCAATATATAATTATATTATATGTAAATGCATAATATTTAATATTTTATTATTTTATAAATCAACTACTAAAAAATTTTGTTTCAAATTTGGCGCAAAATTTTTGTATAAATTTCTCAAATGTTTGCTAATTTCATTAATGGAAGCTTTGTTTGCAACATTTCAAATCACTTATCAATTGGTATTATTATTTATATTTTGTATATCTGCGAATTACATGATTGCCTTGCCCTCAGCAGCTAATAAAAGCTTTTAAGTTTGTATTTTTTACTCATTTAATTTGTATAATTTTCTTTATGTAGCTGCACATTGAATATTTATAATAATATTTATTTCAATTCATTGCCGTCCAAAATTTTTGGTTATGTGTAAAAGAAACATAGCTAAATAGCTACCCTCAAACTACCCAAAACATACTTACTTTGTATTTAGTTTAAAAAAGTTTAGATATTAGTAGTAGTTTGAGTGATCTTTTGATTAATTTAGTTACTCTTTAAACATATCAGTTGAGAATATATAATATTAATAATAATTATTGAAAACGACGTTCATAAGTATACTAATATAATATAATTAAAAATGCAAGAAACGCTTAGTAAAATTAAATTTTTTAGTGTCTAAAGTTGAAAATTGAAATTAGTTAATATAGATATATATATATATATTATATGTAAATGAAGAATTTCCACAAATTCGGGCATAGTTTGTATTTTTCCATTTAAACGTCCTGATTATGATTAAAAATACCCTGCACTCCAGTCGCAGTTAGAACATTGCAACAAACTTTAAAGTTTTTGTGTATGTAGTACAGCACATTATGCGCATACATATAAACCATTCAGACATGCATATGTATTAGTACGTAGAACGTTAAACGTTAGGCATATGTACCTATTTAATATACGTACGAAGTGAGTAAGCGAAGTTGGCAACGCCGTCGCAAGCAAAATGATTAAGCGGTAGTGGCGAAATTTGCCTGAAAACTTTCAAAAACTATTTATATAATCTAAATTTTTTTTTTGTTTTTGTAATAATCTCTGTTTATTACCTTCATTTTATATGGTACTTTGTATATAATTTTGATTATTTAATAGAAATCGTTGTCTGTAAAGATAAAAATGTTTTCTTAAATTTTGAATGATTTCGAAATTATACATATATAACAACGACTTTAGTTCGCACCCTCTCTTTTACTGCATTCTCCGAACTCTATTTTAGTTGGCCGAAATATTTTTTATATCAAGGTGCTAGATCCACCTATATAAATGGTAAAAAAAAGAATCGATTAGTCAAAAAAAATGATTTTCCAACGATATTTTCGCTAAAAATGTTCAATATTTTGTCTGGTGCATTATGCTTTTCATCAATAAACAACTTTTTGAGCTTTTGGCAATACCGTTTGCAAATAGAGTAAACGTTAGTTCTCCAACCAAACTAGAATGTAGCTTCCTAATAAATTCCGTTATCTAATGTAATAACCCAAAATTCTCTAACTTCTGAGACTGGCATCTTTTACTAACAACTTGCAAGCCACGCTTCGAACTTAAACGGTTCTAAAGCACACATTATACAATAGTGTATCCACTCATCTCTCGAAATTGTACCTTACATATGCTGCTGCTCTTATTTTATCTCTTAAGTCAAAGATTAGTGTCAAAGTTACTTATACGTTCAGCATAGACAGATAAGATATATTGACAAGTGGAAACGACTATCACCTATTTCCGCTTTAATTTGGAGTTTTGTCTTTTAACTTAAATTTATCAATACAAAATTGCATCGTGTATAGGGAAAATATGACAGGTAGATGTAGCTACTGTCTTCATTCTAGTAAAGTAGCTGTTACCGGTAGCCCGTTGCTTTCGCTGTGTTCATAGCATAAAACTTTTAATGAGCGCTATTGTCGTGCCGTGTATGACACTTGGATTCTCATCTATTTCTTGTAGATACTTGAAAGCACGAATGTTTATTTGAAAATTTTTTAATTTTATAGTTTTTAACTTATTTCCCATTTTGAATTAGTTAGTATATATTTTTTTCAAATTTTAGAACCCCTTGTAGTTTTTAACGAATATTATTGAAATTAGTGAAAAATAATAAAATTAGTATTTTAATTTTTTTTTAATAATAGTTAGGTTATTATTGTTTGACTAAATGAATTAAACATATCGCTAATAATATTATCAATGAAATCGATCGAATTGTCTACAACCAGGTCTTTCACTTTCTCTCTCGATCTCTCTCGCCTCTGTCTCTACACCTGCATTATATTTGAGCTTTCTAAAAGCTTCGTAATGCAAACCATCAAGTTGAAATATTTCTCACGAAATAAAAACTGACTTTTTCCACTTTTATGCCTAAAAAACTGCATTAGTTAATTTAATAAGCTTGCGGGAGAAGAAAATAGCAAAGCAGAAGCGAAAGAAATATCTATAACAAAAATTCAAAATACCAATATTTCTTTTGATAAAAAGACTGGAAATAGAAAAATTACATATATATATATTAAAATTACTAATTAAAATAGCATAAAGCATTATATTAGCACTTATGTGCTGAAGTTATTTTCTTTTTCATAATGTTTTACAGTGACTATAAACTAGCATTGGTTTGCAGAAATAGAATTGCAGATTAAAGCATAAAATGGTATTGAAATTTTCAGAACTTTTTTTTTTCAAAACTGAAAATATAAGAATGGCTTAAGTCGACTTTAGAAAGGTTTGCGTGCGCGTATGTGACAGTAATTTATTAAAATAGCAGTTTCGCTAATTTGTTGGTAAAAATACAAATTTTTAAGTTGAGTAATATTAATTATAAATAAAATAAAATTATTAATTGCACCTAAAAACCTGCTTAAATATACTTAAGTTTTTTTTATAATTCTGATACGGTCGATTTCAAACTTGTTGTATAAATAAAGTCATGCCATTACAAAGCAAATATCCAATGTCGGAATGTAGTTACTGATTTTTGTTTTTTATTTAAAAAATATTTATTTGAAATTTTTTTAGTTTTTAGTTTTTGAATTGATTTTTTCTCTGAAAAATTGTTGACGTATATAAAAGCTGTGTACCCAGAAATTGAATTTAGAAGCATTGCTTTACGAATATTTCTGAAATCCAACTTAAGTTAGCTTAAACTAAAGCGTCTGAGACGCGAATTGCTAATTAAAAAACTAAAAATATAAAATTGAGAAATATAAAAAAATTAGCATTAAACAATATTATTATATATATGTAAAATTGAAAACGATATTAAATAAAGAAATTGTAAGTAAATAATATGCATTATCCTTTGTTAAATATTATTAGTTAGCGAACCAAATGCAACATACATAATTATATAAATAAATACTCGTAAGCTACCTTGAACGCAATTTGCCACATAGAGTATAAATAGAAATATTTGAACAAATAATAAACAAAAAAAAATTATTTAACAAAAAAATTAATAAAAATAAATTGCGCCAGCCTGATAACTTTAAATACGAAAGAACAAGCAACGTAATACGCTAACAATTGAAAATTAAAATAGAAAACCAAAAAATGCAGTTCAAACAAAATAATAAACGCCAGTAATACTTTAAATTCTAAACGTACACACACAAGCAAAATTAAGAACAAAAATTTAATTATTAGCAGGAAATATGTCAAAAATTAATAAAACAAAAACACAAACCAATACATTAATAATTAATAATTTTTAATTTTCAATTACGATTATTACTTAATTATGCTTGAAAAATACAAAGAAATACTTAAAATTAAACAAAAAAAACAAATACTAAGTAAATGAAAATTAAAAAAAAATTAAACAAAGTTGTTAAGCATTAAAATGTTTTATAAACGTTATGAACAATTAATTAAATTATAACTGAAAATCAATTAACAATAACAATACGAAAAAATAAATAAAAATTAAGAAAAACACAAAAACGCTGCGTAATTCGAGATGTTAAAGCATAAATAAATAATAAAAAAAAAACACAAAAATATTAATTTAGCGAAAAATTATATTAAAAATATGAACATTTCATAGAAACCAAAGCAAAAAGAAAATACAAAAATTATAAATTGATAAATAATTAATAAACAAAATACAAACAAGAAGCATATTCCTCTATTATTCTTATTATTACTGATGCATTATTATTATTATTATGATTATTACTATATGAAATAATTATTGATAATTAGTAAAGAAAAAAACAACATAATATAGAGCAAAAAATTATTTAAAAAAATACAAAGCGCCGATAAATAGTTTAACAAAACAAAAAATAGAAAGACAAAAAAAAATAAAAAATAAAAGCAGAAAAGTAATAAAATTATGAGAAAAAATTAATGCAGTGCTGTTTTTCATAAATATATTTTATTAAAAATTTAGCGTTAATTTATTTTAATGTAATTTAATTATATTTTTTCTAATTACACAAAAATATATCAATCAGTCAATCAATCAAATAGTTAGATAAAAAAAGGTCTGCCATTTAATTGAGATTCAAACTAATGCACTTTAATGCAATGTTTAATGAGTATATTGAAAATTTCCAAGCCACTTTCGCTTCACGGCTCTTACCTAACCTCTTAGCTATAAAGCTGCACAAAGCTCCAGTCCGTCAGCTAATTAGACGTAGCTTTATGCAATATATTTTCCGACAAATGCGTTTTAGCGGAACCCAAGTAATATACTACAGTGTCAAGACATATAGCACACATATATGGTATATCCTTTTTCGTCATCGAAATATTTCTATATGGTAGAATTACAAATTCTTCCTAGTGTTCCACTATCGATAAAAGCAACACAGTATCCGGCTGTAAATAACCATTTCATAAATTCCAAAATTTCGGATTCTCTTAATTTAGATGACCATATTTGTTTCGGCAAAAACCAGTACGGTTTTTTTTTTTAGTCATTGATTTTTTCCATATTATAATTCACTGAAAATCGCGAAATATAATAGGTGAGAGAGCAACACAATTTTATTCAATTCATTCTTTTTTTAATTTTTAAGCCCGGGACGACCGGAACGCTTAACTCGGAATCCAGACTGTCCTGGCCAAATCGGGATGACCATTCGTCTAACTCTAAATATTCTATAATAAGCGAAATCTGTAAATAATTAATTAAAATGTAATGTAAGTTTTGATGATAGTTGCAAAAATTGTAAAAAGTTGTAAAAAAATTTAAAAAGTATGTAAAAATATGCTCAATATTTTCATTTACCCTCTCAGTAGCGTAATGGGTTCGTACTTGCTATCATTACCATCTTTTTGTAGACTAAAAATGTAAATCGTTATTAGCTTTTACAAAGTCTTTCGCAACCCCGCTCATTTCTCGGAGAAATAATTCTCACTCAATTACCTATATTTAAAAACGATCGCGGAAATTTTAAAGGGGGTATTCTGGTCTAGAAATAAAAAAAAGTCAATTTTTTCAAAGCTTTCCATATTTAGGAACATATGTACAAGATAGTTTTTTAAAATACAAATTATTTTAATAGATATAGGTATTTTGCTGACACAACTTTAAACGCGTTTTTCTCAAAACTGCTATTTTCTAAACGATAGCCAAGATTTCTCAGGTTCTAATTTACCTGCAATTCTTAGAGAGTCTTCTTTACAGACTTGTCTATGTCTGGAACTATGCATATCACCCAATTTTAATTTTTACTACTTTTAAAAAGTTCGAACAGTAAAAAAATGGTACAAAAATAGTTTTCGTGAAAAAATTGCTTTCAACTTTTACGTAGAACCAGGCATTACGAAATGATTAGTGATTAATTTTTGTTTTTTTTGGTTTCAGATTGCTGAAAAAGCTGAAATCGTGGTTTCTTGCCAATTTTTTAAGACCCCCCACTTTAACTTGCTAATTTTTGACATTTTTAACTTTTTTTATTTAATAAAAAATAAAAAAATGTATTCTACATGATAAAAAATAAAAAAAAATGGATGATAAAATATTAATTGCCTTTCTTTTACGACACTTCAAAAGTTACCTGAAACTCATGCCTGTAGACTAGAACAACCCCTAAAGTTTCCTTTTTTTCCATGAAACATTTTAAATGGATAATTTGTGATTTAAATCGCACAAAATTTTTCAAATCTTTCGAAAACATATGTGCAAATAAACTGCGCTTCATCAGATATAAAATATATGATAATTTCAAGTTAAATTTCAAATACGAAGTTGTGGCGTAATGAAAGTTTTTCTAAAGGCGATTTTTTTTTACTTAAGTAAAGAAATGATTAGTCACTTCTTGAAGAAAGCAATAATCTTCGTAAGCTTTCGACTTCTCATTAAATATGTTAATGCCGAAAACTCAATTTTTTTTGGTTTAATTTTTTGAGCTTATAGCTTGCTCTTCAATTATGAGCTTTTCAAGTTCAAGTATTTCTACTTATTTAAAGCTCTAGTATAGTATAGTGTATTATTATCATTATTGAAAAAACAAAAAATTTTCTAACTTATAATTTTTTTCTAATATATAGTACCTATATACGAGTGCTGTAAATTTTAGTGTAATGAGTACTTTAGTTTTAAATCCGTAGCGTAAGTTATGTGGTTGATTGCCAGATTTCATGAAATCGTAAATTGTAAATACGTAAATGTGTGAATGTGGTAAGTAAAGTAAATTATCAACATATTGTTTTGTTGTTTGTTGTCTGGAAAAATTGCGCAATCGTTCAATTTTTCGCAACTTGCAAATATGAAATTATTTTCCTTCTAAATAACTACTACTTCTTGATGTGTGTCTGTGTATGATTATTGTCTTCACAATGATTACATTGCCCATTAAATGTATTGTATTTCTTGATTTCTTTAATTCTCTTACTTTACTTACTTCTTCTTCCGTTAGACATTTTTTATATGTAAATCACAATTTTCAATTATATGTTCTATTATTTTGGTGTATTTTCTTATTTCTATTTCCATTTTTATGATATAAAACAAGTATTTCTTTGTTAGAATTTTCTTCCTTACTGACTATACTATTTGCATGTTATGATTCAGTAATTTGCGTGCAATTTTCTTATTAATTACATTAATTAATGAAAAATATTCAGAAGAGTTAAGCACGTTGCGTATTTTTATGCACTAACAAAGCAAACAGTAACTGTAATAAAAATAATTTTTATAAAAACAAGTTATTAAATACAACAACAAAAACTGCTGAGATGATCAACAAGCGCTACACTAAAATTTAGTTAACCCTTAAATAAACGCAAAATGTGTATGTAAGTGTTAAAATTTTTTAAAATACTTGTATATTTGAAAAAAATATAATTTCTATGTAGCCATATTAGACTTCCACTTTAACAACCCAAAAAACTCACATAACATAAATATAATATAAACAATTAAAATTGAGCTCACATAACCTTAAAAAATAATTTTTGTATGCGCTCATACTCATAATAATTGTTGTTGAAAACCTATTTGACGCGCTCTACGCCGCCTGCCACTCATACAACTTAGTACAAACATTTACCTATACGATTTTACCGTTATCGCTGGTGTTAACTATATGCATTTCCGAAGTAGTGCCAAGTCATCAACTTACTCAAATATACGTAGGTACAATGCTCAGTCTAAAACATGCTCATTTCCAACATCTACAATACTCGTCGTACTCATTTATCATACGCTTAAATCGTAAATATACTCATGTAGAATTCATTCGTATACTCATTTGTCGCTCTCTACTCTAACTACCTATTTCGCTCTCTTTCTTTTCCATCTATATCATTCTAGCATATATTGAACCACGTTCTCTCTCATTTCCATATTCATACCCCAATCAAATTTAGTAAACGTAAAAGTTTGTAGTATCTCACTTGCTCACGTGTTATTAGCGTAAAATTCATTTTGCTTTAACAGTTACTCTTCTAAGTTACGAAAATCAGTGTCTAACAACTTTACTCTCAATTTAGCGTATTATACTAGGCAAAAACCTTTCTCTAACTAACCAAAAAGAATCAATTTGAGTTTCTAATATAAATTTTGCTCTCTCAACCTCTTCCAATGAAATAAAATTAATAATAATGAATAAATAAATAATAAAAAACAATAAAATATAAAATTAATAAACCAAACAAATAAATAATAATTATAAAAAAAAAATCGATGAAACGAAAAAATTAAATTTTCAACACAACTCAACTCTTGAAACAGTCCCGTCGGGTTCTGGGGCAAAATTGTCGGTTCGCTGTGTGTGATCGCTGGTGTATTGACCATCGCACTGCCCGTCCCTGTAATCGTCAGCAATTTCAATTACTTCTATCATCGCGAAACCGATCAGGAAGAGATGCAGAGTCAAAATTTCAATCACGTCACAAGTTGTTCATATTTACCTGGTGCATTGGGTGAGTCTATTGACAATTATATTAATTCTAAAATCTTGATAAAATATATACATAAATTAATTTCTTTCTTTTGCTCTCCAACCGTAATATATAAATTCTCATCCACCTTATTCACTTGCAGGCCAACATATGAAGAAGTCTTCTATGTCCGAATCATCATCTGATATAATGGATTTAGATGATGGCATCGATGCTACATCAGGTTTGACTGATCATCCTGGCCGACATTTAGCTCCATTTTTGCGAGCACAGCAATCATTCGAAAAGCAACAATTACAATTGCAACAACAACAGAATGGCTTGCGTGGCCAAACAAATACACTGCAACTGCGTCACAATAGTGCCATGGCCGTCAGCATTGAAACTGACGTCTGACTACTGGGTAAGTGCAATACTTGGAAATATTACAGAATATTTATATAAATCAAAACGCTAAAATCAAATGCAGCAATACTATCATATCATACATATATTATCCATAATTGCTTTAGAAACACTCGTTTAGGGTGAAGGGATATAAAAATTATTGAACTTACAACTAGCTTTCTAAATTTGTAAAATAAAACAAAATGTTTAAGGTTTCCGAATCCGAAAGCCTTATACAAAAATAGTTTTTCACTTAAAAGTTTGGCCTTAAATCCACTAATTCCAGTAAACTTCGGAGCACTTTAGCTGGTTTATAATTTAGTTACTGAAATTTGCCATAAAACAGATGAAGTATAGCTCTAAAACTTTAGACTTTAAAGTCTCTTTTTTATATATAGCTTTAAGAGGGATTAATTTCAAATTTTTTCACCATACCTATGTATGTTTTGAATCCATTAGGTGGCATATCCATGTTTAATTTGATCGGTAGTGCAGCCTCTCGGTTTTTTGAGTGTACTATATCTTATTCATCGGAACAGTACCTACATGCAGGGCCGTAGAGAGAAAAACGAGGCACGGGGATGATTGTGATGAATTCTAGAAGAAGGAAATCTGCAAAAAATGTTTTCAGAGCACGGGAGGAATTTTCCCTGATTACCCTTCTCCTTTACTGCCTATATGTATTGGTAATCTACGGCATATAAAGTCCAGGATATTTTACGAAGACGAACATTAAAAAATTATTAAAATGCACATAAAATCAGATTCCCTTAATAAGATTTGTTCTTGAAGGCTTGCAAGCCGGCAAAGAAATTAAATGAGGAATTTCGCTCTATATCGCACAGCTCACACTATTAATAAACTTCAGAACCCTTGACTTTTATAGAATAATATTTATTTACAGAAAAATTTTTTTTTTCTTTTAGTTAACCAAGTCTTTAATGTGTCGTGACTTTGGTCAATTTTCAAGTCGCAAATTTTCACTAGCCTCCATATCTTTTCATATCTATGATGAAAAAGCTCTGGGCTTACTTTCTTAGTAGGCTACATTCATACCAAATAGAAAACATACCACTATAGGAGATTTAGTTTGTCCAACGATGAGAAGACAAATGAATTAATCTCAGGTTAAAACGCTCATCATTTACAGTTCCAGTTCAAACTAAACACATTCATTCATTTTAATAATTCAGCATTTCAAATAACATCCACCAAATTTATAAACAAACTTTTCTTGCTTCAAACTTCTTACTAAAAAAATGTTTTTTAACCAACCAGTAAAACACTTGGAAAACGGCCTCAATTGGCAACGTGAAAAGCTGCGTTGGATGCCAGAAACGTCATCGAAAGCGGTCTAAAACCGCTTCAGTGCAAAATGAAGAATCACTGCGGTTGATGAGTAAGCAAATGTTGCAAAAAGTATAAACTGAAAATAAGTGAAGAAACCACAAAAAAAAAGAATAAGAAACAACCAAAACCCAAAGTTAGCTCATTGTTAGCAATGAAAATACAAAAAGCGAATAATTTTTTTAGAACACATTTAGAAAATATCATATTTAGCTACAGAAAATTTAACTAAAATGCAAACCAACAAGCAGTGTAAGAATTATAAAAACCAAAACATAACGAGAAATTATTAAATGGGAACAAACTATTATAGATTTAATTTTTTTGTGTATTAGCGGCGATATTAGTAAAACAAATCAAACTAAAAACAATATGTATAGCGAAACTCATCGAGATAAAGCCATAAAACTATTTAAGTTAATATTTGTTTTAGTAAAATTTATTGTTTTTAGTTTTTATTGAATCATTTTTAAATAAAAAAGAAGAAAATATTGAAAACATACAAACAGTTGTGCAGAGTGCTGCTTAATATTGCTTAATAAGCTCAAAAAAGGGCTGTATTATGAAATAAATCTCAGCTGTTGTTAATGCCTAGTTTACATTATGCCAATACAGATGCCGAACGAATATATGACTCGCTAGCATAAAGTTTATTTTAATACGATCATGTATTGTAATTATAAGAATGACTAGCTTTATAGGCATATTGCAACCAAAGCATTAGCCAACAATAACCTAAAGTGTTTTACTTAAGCTTAGGGCCGAAGAGAAAGAAAAGAAAATTGGCAACAGTGTTATAAAATGGCTTAAATTCACAAGTGTTCAGCAAGAGGAAGCTACTGAGGTGTTTAAGAAATTCTGAGTCCGTTATAACATTTTAAATGCGTTCAGTGTACATTACGCGTTAGTGAATTGTCAAAGTACTCCAGAGTGCATACAAAAATTTAGTAAATTTTTAGATCATCTTTTGTCTCAAATATAAAGTATTTTCACCATAAAATGGTGTTAAAAGAATTTTTTTAAAGTAAATTTCGCGTTTGTGAGAATGAACAACAAATAGAAGTTTATGGCGCACACGAAATGTACTTCTAACATATTTCTCTTTAAAAATTAGTCTACTTTTTTTTAAATATATTTTCGAAAACTCCACTTCTTTTGTTACCACTCTTTTTATACCTCAACAGGTTATATTAAGTTTGCCACGAAGTTTGTAACACCCAGAAGAAAACGTCAGAGGCCCCATAAAATATATACATATGTATATATAAAATATCAGCGTCGCGTGCTAAGTCGATTTAGCCATATCTGTCTATATGTACATATATACGCGAACTTGCCCCTCAGTTTTTGAGATATTGATCTGTTTTTTTTCGCCAAGAAACTGTTCATATATATAGGATATAGTAGCTGCCATACAAACTTACCGATCAAAATCAAGTTCTTGTATAAAAACCTTTTTTATTTGACGACAAATCTTTAAAAAATTTTACAAAGATTATTGTCTGAAACAACGCTACTATCTCCGAAGAAATTTTGCAAATTGGATATTATAGCATATTGCTGCCATATGTCTGACCGATCAAACTCACGTCCTTGTATTGAAAACTCTTTTAGTTGACAAGATATCTTCGAAACTCAAGGCAGCGCTACAATCTCGGAACATAACGCTCAGATCGCACCATTATAGCTTATAGGTGCCATACAAACAGAACGATCGCAATCAAGTGTTTGTATAGAAAAATTTTTCATTTGACGAGGTATCTTCAAGATATTTAGCAAAGATTATTATTCAAGGCATTGCTACAATCTCCGAAGAAATAGTTCAGATCGGTCTACTATAGCGTATAGCTGCCGTACAAACTGAACGATCAAAATCAGAATCATCAGAAGATCTTTTAATACCCTTTTATGATATAAGAAATTCATCTGTAAAGGGTATTATAGCTTTGTTGCAGTCGAAGTTTTGTTTTTTCTTGTTTTACTATTCTTTTTGTTTCAAATTATTATTATCTATAAATCTCGAAGCTCCAAATAATGTTTGTATGTTTTCTAAAATATATTTTCTCTCAACAAAAGTTATTAACTATAATATAACGCATTTCAGTCAGTTACCCACACACTCACACACATATACCGCACACAAATTCATGCATACAGCCATAAGTACGATAAATTAATCAATAAAACTGCCGTTATGTTTAAAATATAAATAAAAAATACAATGAAATACAAACAAACTGCTCGTACTCGTACATACAACAACAAATAATAAAATATAGAATCAAAATAAAGTAACAAAGCCTAATAAATAGATAAATTGTCGAAACAAAAACAAAAAACACAAAGCGCAAAAGCGTCAATTTCAATGCCACAATAATGAAATCTTCTTTTGTAAATACAAAAACAATAAATTACTGCAATACAAAACTAATAGTCAACTGCAACAAACGCTATTAAAAAATTAATAAATAAAGTATCAGTAAACTTGTAAATTATAAAACTACTACAATTATAGCCAACATATGTTGATTATAAATACTTTTTTTTAGTTTTGACTTGTCTCTTATTTGTCTTTAACATTTCGTAAAGTAGTTTAGTACTCAGTACTTAGTAAATGTGTTTATTGTTGAATTTTAGCAAAAATATATTAAAATCTTCCAAGAATATAATTAAATTAGTATGCGTAGTGTATATGTATGAGTGTATAGCATTACCCGAAACTCTTATGTAACTCTTCCACTATTATATTGTGTATGTATGTATGTATAACAATGATTGCATCCATTTAGATGCTGCCTAATAAATATTTGTGTTCATGCTGTAAATTTAGTTAAAAAAATATCAAAAAAATATATGTATTTGTAGCTGCTGAACTATTTTTAGAGTTTGCTCTAAGAATATCATAAAAACTTTTGTTTTCATTAAGTTTTTTTTTTCGTTCACAAACAAAAATAAGTTCCATAATTTTTTTTGATTCGTTAATGCTTCAATTGTTCTAAAGTCTTACCCTACATAAATAAAGTTTCATAGGATATATATACTTCGTTGCTTTTAAGCTTAAGTTATTTAGACTTCTGGTAAGCAAATCAATTCGCTGTTTAAACAGACATTAATGAGATGAACTAAAACTGGAACTTCATCTGGATTAAATGTATAATTCGCAGAGAGTAAAATAACGCTGAGCCGAGACAGTTGTATGTATTCTAGGCTCTACAAGATACATAAGTTTGAGTGCGTTCACACACGGACGCTTTTCGCGCTCATTATCGGAAAATTCTCTTTTTGTATAGGGTTATACTCTTTTTCGTTTATTTTCAATTCAAAACTTTGAATTTTGAATTATTCTGAGCCTAAGCTTCATTTCTACAATTACACAAGTTTCATATTCTCGCCTCTCTGTAAATAAACCGAGATCAAATCGTTATTCTTTTAATTTAGTTATAACTGGCATCTAATATATCTATGCCATATTGACAGATGTATATTCGATTCTACCCTAAGATCTTTTTCAATTCTCTTTTTAAATTGCTCAAATAGGATATCAAATAAAGACAGGTAGTAAATTTCTTTATTTTACAAATATTATATTATGTTTCAACTAATAAATAACGTTTAACAAAAGTATCTCATTAAATTACCGAGGTTATATAAAAGAGTAGCTAAGACCATAGCGTCAATTTTTGTCATTGGTAATATAAGAATACTTTTTCCAAATATTTTGAATATTCTTCTCAAACAATATTACTTTAAAATCCGTAAGGTCCCTCTGAGCCGTCTTAAAGAACGCTTTTATTTCCGAAATAAGTTAGCTTCTGATCACTTGTTTCTACATAAAGCAGAAGTCTATTTTAGTCCTATTGCGTTTGAAATATCTTCGAAACATTTAATTATGTATGTATAAATTTAATCACTGGAAACTTCTATTTGGAATATAATTCATTTCAGCCTCTAAAGTAATTGACTAAATTTTACAAAAATATATTTTTTATAAAAAATAATAATACTTTGGATTCATCATTTGAAAGATTTATACATTTTTGGATTATTTCAAACTTTATGCAATATTTGTTTATATATTTTGGATATTTTTATTGTTGTTTTAATAAATACCTTTTGTAAAAACAATAACAATGTATATTTTCCATAGTGTGGCTTATAAATATAATTTGCCTGTTCGTGTAAAGAACACATATGTATGTACATACATATGTTTACTTGTAAATATTTATTGTAAAAAGTATGACAAGAAATGGACAAAAAGAAAAAATATATGCAAAGTAAAAAAAAATTATGAAAAAATGGAGAGTAAATAAAAAAACAATTTTGAAGTTATCTAAAAGCTTTGAATACCGTCCACGCCAAAAATAAATAAAATACTTATCAAACAAGTATAAGAAGAGGAAGCAAGTAAAGATAATGCACATACATATTTTGCTTTTTTTTTTAAGTAAATGTGGTGAAAATGCTTGAAAATGTTAGGCGAATAAATTTAGGGTTTTAATGCTAAAAAAAATATATTTGATTAATTTATTACTATTATTATTATATTTTAATTTTTGCATATTTAAGGGTTTTTATAACTTTTATTATTTTATATATTTATATTATTTTTTTTTTCAATTGCAATATTTAATTTTTTTTTTAAGTCATAGAGAACTTCTAAAAAAATTGCTAAAAACGCCATTTGATGCATCAGTTTAATTACATAATTAGAAAAACAACATATCGATATAGAAGTTTTGTGTAAATTTTTCGTTTAATTTATAAAATCAAAAATCAAAACCAAAAAAAAGCTAAAAAAAAAAACACAAAAGCTGTGTAAATGATATCACACAAGAATAAAACTCAATTATGAAATGATGCGTGTTTATATTCTTATTCAAATTATTATTGTAAATCCTAGACATCAAATTAAATGGAAATGTGTAATAAAAATAAATCAATTAAGAAATGGCTTTTTTATTCAAAATATCCTAAGTATAAATGAGAATAATAATAAGAAGAAACAAAAACACAAAGCAAAGCAACTAAAATTCAATTATAAATAAAATAATTATACATACATACAAAACAATGCAAACACACACACATGAATATCAAGTATGAAATCGAAGTATTAGTGCGTGCAAAAATCAATTAAAACAACTAAAAACAGAAAACAAAAAGTTATAATAAAAATAATAACTAATGAACATAAAATAATTTGTTAAAAATCTTGCCAAACTAAACTAAAATATAATAATTAAATAAATAAATAAAAATAATATCAAACTAAATAAATTATAGCAATTAATAATCGTAATTACACAACAAGCATAGCAAGAATTTCCAATTTTATTTAACTTCAAGCGAAAAAATAAAAGCAAATTCAATCAAAACAAATTTCAACTACAAACACGATATTTAATATATGTATACACACTTACAAAGAAAAAAAAGGCGAACAAATTGTTGTAATTATTTTAGAGAGACCAACAATTAAAAAAGCCTTTCTATGTACTTCTACTGAGCTTTGCTTTATTACGTCAAATCGAAAGCACAAAAATTGTCAAAAACTAAACACAAAACATACCAAGCTGTGTAATTCGTCATTGAATTTAGCTCAAAATAACTTAATGTTTTAATTATTTAGCTTCTAGAAATTATGCCCTGTAGACAAGTGTTTAAGAACAACCATTTTTGATAATAAAAATTTAATTTTTAATCCCAACAACGATAAATTTAATTTTTATTTTTTAATCCATAATTTTTGAATAAAAAAAATTCGCAACCCTGATACGAACACATTATAGCGGTCTGCTTTGAAACTTTTTTAATCCAATATAATATATTTGAGATTGAAATTTGAAAGTATTGCTCTTTGATTTTAATGAACGCGAAAAAATGTTCATTCCTTATCAAATTCTTTGTTTTAATTCTAAATTATATGCTTAAAATTAAAATTTCTTTTCTATTCTTCAATCCGGTAGTTATTTATTAAAAATAAAAAATAAAGTTTTTATTCGGTTTTTGGGATTAAAATAATTCCCTTTTTTTTAATTTTTTTGTTTATCCCGTATTTGAAATATTTATTTCAATTATTTTTTAACGCATTATTTGCAACCCTGGTCCGTATATAGATTAATGTGTAAATTGTGTATATTAATTCTAATTTTAATAATTTGAGATTAAAAATTAACAGTACATACATCCCAGTTAATCAATTTTCAACTAAAGATGTTTGATTTTTCAATAAATTTCATATAAACTAGTCGTTAATTTTCCCGCAGAATTTGCTAAAAACATGCTTTGTTGAACAATAAAATAAACTACTTCCAACTAAATTACTCACAAAATGGCGTAAAAATAAATAAATAGGAGAACGAGATTCCATACTGGTCCTCTATGCTATTAGCAAATTAGCTTATTTCAACCGATAGAATTTGCTTTCGTGAAATTGTTTTTTTATTATACTCAGTCTATATAATTTTGTTACTAATTTGCACTGAATTTATGCCTAAATCAAAAGTGGATACTAAATTACTACATTGTGAGCATATGATTAGAAAGTGTATATCAATTTCTGTAATTGAACCAATGAACCAGAAGACATAGCCAAAACTGACATTAGCCGTTTCAACAAATTGTTTAAGAGTCGCTTTATCAATTTTTTGAGGTTCTATTGATCTAGTGTTCTAAGAGAAATCCCTGTAGGGTCGACCTCTTGTTCATTCTATTATAATTGATTTTAAGTCTTAAGTTTTAATATCAAAGGAAAAAAATTAATATAATTTTCTTTTGTCATTTGAACCGAACACAATAGTAAAACTGAACTAAAATATGCAAAACAAAACTTGGTAGCATTGAAAATAACAGATCATACTTCAATGAGGTAGCCTCTCTCCTACTCTCTTGTATGAATTCAACTCGATAACTTTGTTGTTACTTTTACATGTAATTTTTTTTACAAGAGAGCAGCGCGCAGAGAAATGGCGAATCGAAAACAGCTAACATAATGATTTTGCATCAAAATCTGCTTACAATGCTGTTAGAAAAATAACTATTAATTGAAATTAAGAGGTTGAGCTTACAAATATTTCTAAAATATTTAAGTTTTTTCGGTATGATTCCAGTAAATCACTTACTTATCATTTCGAGTTAAATTAATTTTGGTAGGTATGCTGAATGCTGAATTTAATCGCTTAAAGCATTCTTACTCCGCGCTGACTAATTGTTTCTATAGAACACATAGAGGTTTTCGCGTTCTTTCAAAAGTTGCTTTCAAATACTAATTTTTATATTTTAATGACTTTCGAGCATGAAATACAACAAGAAAAATATAATTTAGAGAATATAATATATCGCACATTGCGTACTGAAATATTAGTTAGATACATGTATATTATATTTTTTTATATTATTATTAAAAAATATAAACCACTTAAATATTTTATAATTTTGTCTTTTACATTTTTGTCGTTTATTTAATTTATTTTGAATATTTTTAGAAGGCTGATAATTTACAAGATTTGAATGCTTTTCTCCAAAATGAAAGACCAAAAAATTTAAATTGTGCATATTATTTATAAAGTCAAAACAAGCTAACCAAATTTTTATTAAAATTATGCAGTTGGTTGAAATTTTTGATAATCGCTAAGCTAGAGTCACTGTGATGACACCAGACTGTGAGTCATTCACACGAGTTAACTTTTATCAGATAAATAATAAACAAATGGAAACGTGCCAGTGGCAAAGCAATAATTCTAATTCCAGTTACAAAGTTCCAAGCTGTAATGCATTAAAAGACAATTGAATTCACATTTACAGATTTTTTTTATTATGTAATGCTTAAAAACTTATTTAAAAGAGAAATTATTTGTAACAAAACTTCGACAAAGTTTAACACTTTTTTTCTTATTTACATTTAATAACTTTTAATTACAGTGTTTCAGTTAGAAACACATATGTAAATCAACTTTTGTTTTGAATTTTGAATGAAATGTAAAAAATATTTTATATATTTTTAATTCTAATTGAAAAACTCTAATTTTTAATCCCAAACATTTTGAAATTATATTGCTTTTAAACCGTCTGTATTGAAATTTGAAATCGGAATGAATGATAAAGGATAAAGACACAATAGAAGAAAGATAACAAAATAATTCACAATAGTGAAGAGAAGTGTTGCCAAACAATAAGTTATTCATATATTTGACAAATTTTAATTCCAAAGCTTTTAATTTGAAAATTTGCACCCCGATATGTCAGTAGTAAAAATATCATTTTTAGTGGTTTACTGTCCAGCGTATTACCAGGGATAAAGTGATGTGCAACTTATTCCAGTGTGAGAGCCACAAAATTAGCGTTTTTATAACATATTCCAGTGTAGCCAGATCGGACAAAATAATAATTTTTGAGCATTTAAATTAAAACACCCATACATGTCGGCGACTCAAAATTATTGGACGTTTAATAATTTAATTCTGTTTTATGATTTTATGGTTTATTAAAACAATTGATTTTTGAACTTTCAATACTTAAACAAAAGAATAAATATTAGCTCTCAATTAATAAATATTTTTTTAAATTTTTAATTGATAATTAGTACTACTAAGCATGGCATCACAAAACATCACATACATTTCAATTTCGCGTTTTCTTTAATTTTCATTGTTTCGCAATTTTTGTTAGTGATCTCCAACAGCGGCAATAAATCTTCACTGCTCACATATTTTTTTGTGTAGGAATTCAATCTGGCCGTCCCTTTTTTCCAATTGCTAGACGTCAAACAAAACCTACTGAACTTTGACAGTTGGCTGAGTTTAGTAGGTTTTGACGTTTAGCAATTGCTCTCTCAATTTCAGTGAGAGATGAGTTGGGCATCTCTTTATCTCTGGTATTACTATAGAGTTCTGAATTAATTCTCTCAAAGTGTTTTTACTGACTGCTGACTTACTTTACCTTAAAATCATAGCGATTTTCGCATATTATCAAAAGTTTCGGAATACAGTATTCTATATTGCAAATATAAGAAATTACGCCACGGATATTAATTTGAAATTATTTTGTGTATTTTTCATTTAACCTAGTCAATACTTATTTTGACATTTATTTAAAGTTACAGCTCACTATATTTTTTGCTTTAATAAATACTAGGGTTGCAGTGGCCCGTGTCATACACTCGGTTTAAATTTCATAAATTTTTAATTTATATAATTTTTTTATATAATATTATAATTATATTATTAATTTTTTTTTTTAATAAAATTTTTATTTTTCTTGCTACAGGGCATTATCTAAAAAAATTATATATTTAAAATAAAAATTATTTATATAAACAAGACTGGTTAAGAACGAGAAAAAAAACTCAATTATGCAAAATTCAAAACAAATCAATAAAAAAAAATTTTGAAAATTTTAGTTTTGTAAATATTTAGTTGACCCACAAAAATAATTTTCATAAAACTTTGCTTTAGACAGTTTTAATTGTAAAGTAAATGGTTAAAGGAAATAATGCCTAAAAAAGCGTATATAAATTTATTTAAAAACAAATATGCAAAAGAACAATAAGAAATGCAACAAATGAATAATAAAGATAAATGCTTATGATTATTGATAGAAAGAAAGAAAAAACACAGAAAATAAAACAATAAATTAGGAGAATATTAAAAATACAATAAAAATGCATTTCCATAAGAATCCTTGAAGCTGCAAAACGAAAAAAATACAAAAACAAAACAAATCAAATTAAAATGCAGAACCAAAAAAACATATATACAAACAAAAAGAAGAAAAGAATGCGCTGAAGAATAAACTAAAAGAAAAAAACGAATAAGTAAATAGCGAAATGAACGAAGGGTTCGGTAGGAGAAATCTAAGGATACGCATGTGATATAGAAACAAACAAAAAATGTAACGAAAAAGCAGTACCTAAAGGCAAACAGGCGCAGAGAAGTAAAAGGGG